TGAGTGCTTCACTATAAAACGTGACTTGGCGCTTTTTTCCAACTGATTTTTGACCTGAGTGGGTCAAAATCGTCCATCCCATGTGAACAACACAAGGGTGATACTACACGCAACAAAACGGTAAATAGTTTTAAAACAAAATGGCATTTACTCGTGTAATAGACGTTTCATCAATACTGTAGAGTTTTCACCGATTTCGAAGGCAGTCGTTAGATTAAATAAGCCAAGGCTCTGAAGAAGGTGGAGGCGACGAAACGTCAGCCATCAAACAACAGCAACAACAACAGATACGACGACTTTAACAACCTCGCATCAGCTCAAAGAGGGCATTCGTAAGAATATATATGCACATATCGATTTTTTTATGCTGAGATCGATATAAAGTCGGTCATTTAATGTTAATATTGTTAGGAAACGGTGTTATACTGGCAAATCTTAATATATTGAATGAGACTTCCTGGGCGATAAGGGGTTATTCGAGGACCAAAAGCGCCCTTTACTTTCCTGAGATGAAAGTAAATTAAGAGATGGACTCCCTGTTTCTGCTGCACCGATTTGGCACTTACCTTCTGTATTTACGAGGGCATATTCATGCATGGATGTGTTGTCGTTTATGTCGATTGTGTTCTACAAGTCAATTTGGCAAAATCCTGCAATGAAGTAACAGGAAAGTGTATGCGAGACGGTTAGGAGTAGCCTGTTACAAATGAGCCCCTCGTCTACTCTGGAAGGGACTGGCAAGCTATCCGTGGGCGTACGCATCTCTCAATTTGACAGTTCAACAAGTTGTACGTATCAAACGCTAAGCAGAAAAAAACAGGGCGGTCTTTTTCTCATGTTTCCGATAAAGCCCCTCATACGGCAACGTTGATGAGGAAGAATAAGGACAACCAACAGATTAGAATGGAACGAGAATGGTCGATAGCTGCCTGAATTGATCATATAGACCGAGAGCGTCTATGTCAACTCGCAATTCCAGAAGGCCAAACTCCCAGCTCTAGACGTAGGTGTTTTCCAGTGGAGGGTGCTTTAACGAAATAAACCACATCACACGTAAATCAAAGGTCTTGCGTAAACGATGTTACTGTTGTCTCAAAATTCTACATGGAATTAGACCATCGCCTCCTTCGCACAAGACTTTATTTTTCACGGAAAAGAGAAAAAGGCGCTACGTTCAGTCTATTGCTTATGGTTTGGAATCGAATTACGCCTGTCCGGAGAGCATAAGATCTGAGCACCTGAAGAACTTTCCTCCAGTTGTCATAAACACATTGAATCGGGTCCACACACGCTACCTGTTTGAATGCAAAGACCTCTACTCGGAAGGAGATCACCAAGACCGTGCTCTTGGTGAAGAAGTGTGATCTCACGACAACGGCAACTATAGGACAATCTGCTTACTATCTGTGGTTGACAAACTTTCACTCGAGTCACTCTAAATGGGATTAACAGAACACTGGACTAAGGACAACTATGTGAGCAATCAGGGTTTCGAAAAGGATTCATTCCATTGGACCAAAACCAAATAATAAAAAATTCATTGAAGTATCACGAGAGTGCAACAGACCTCTCTGTCACAATTTTATCGTTTTAAAGAAAGCTTTTGAATTAGTTGAGATAGAAGAAGTCATAGGAAGCCCTGGACAACCAGAGCGTTCCTGCTCAATACGTGAAGATTTTTCCTGAGCTATATAAAAATTTCACAAGCAAGATGCCACCATTCTACAACGATATTAACAACGACGTCAAAAGAGGAGTTAGGAAAGGTGATACCATCTCGCCAAAACTTTCTACCCTAGAGGTCATCATGCGAGCACTGGGGTGGTACAACATGGGAGTGAGAATCGATGGTCGGCAATGACACCATCTTCGCCTTGCTGATGGCATCGATCTTATGACACTATACATTAGCTAGGCGGAACGAATGCTTGCCGACTTTCATAACGCCAGTGGAAAAATTGGCTTTTGACTAAATCTAAAGAAAGATGTTCATGAGGAACGGACTGACTACGTATTTAACGGATTGCCGAATTCACGTTCAACGTAATGAATATCTCCGAATTCTCCAGTTATGTCTACCTAGGTTGGGAAATCAATATGATAAATGACTTAGCGAAGCTTTCAAGAGTCCCGGGGATGTCTTGAAGAGAACAAGGAGAAGTTAACTCCACCCCAACTTTTCAACTCCACGATACTTCTTCCTGTCTTAACCTATGCGTCAAAAACCTGGTCACTGCGTAGGCAGGATGAAACGTCACTCGGCGCTATTAAACGCGCAGTCGAAAGAACGAAGTTAGAAGTATCCCGTGTCACACAAACAAGGGATGGTATCCGAAGCTCCGACCTGCGTCAACGATCAAAAATCAAAGATACTGTTTTGTGCAACAAACAGTTGAAGATAAAGTGGGTCGAACACGTAATGCGTATGAATGTCAACCGATGGACAAGAGCCGTTAGTGACCGCATTCCTCGGAATATCAAACGTGCTGCAGAAGACCACACACCCGATGGTCAGAGTTTTTATCGAAAGCCTTCGAAGAAACAGAATTAACTGTCTTACTTTTGTATACGATAGGGAAAATGGAAGATTTACTGACGCCTGTCGTGTGTTTCGACAATCAAGGAGGCGACCTGTAATGCAGGTGAGGTAAACATGTGAAAAGCCAAGCTAGTTCGGTTATGAGGGCTACTGGATCGTTTTTCAGTTGTACGCGTCTTACGCTCTCCAGATTTTGCCTTTTTGGGTTCCCGGCCGATCGAATAGCATGTCGAAATTTGAAAGACTGAACGGATAGAACAACGCATTCACCTTTTTCTATCTCCATGAGAGAAAGCGGACGTGGCTATTGAAGAGATCCGGGTAGAAATCGTGAATAATTTTCTCCCCTACCTTTCTAGAAGCCGTAACTGTATCGTCCGCACGTCGGAGTGAATCATGATCTTGTAATTGGCAAAGTTTCAGAGCACTTTGCAAGCACTTTCCCCAACACTGCAGCATTGACCATAACTATTGCTCTAGAGTCTATCCAGTCACCGCTCTGTGATGCCTCTGTACTCGACATTACTTGTGCATACATGCTTAGTTTTTGTGCAGCAGTGGTGTTTTTAGACGGAGATAACACATTAAGTGGTGTTTTCAAAATGTTTCCATCTGTATCTTTATTTATCCTTTATCCTTTATAAATCTTTATACGATGACATTTGCAACACTTAAAAATTATGTTCGATAAAAAAAAATTGAAAAATGTTAAAGCGTCACTGGCTCGCATTGTCGTTAACGTGTGGATATAGACCAAAGTGACTGTGTATTTTATCTATTTATTTAGGTACCACAGTTTTTTCGCTGAAGATAGTAGAAATACAAATAAATAGAAACAAGAGTGTTAAAAAAAACATGTGCTGCTACCGTTTCGCTCAAGGAAGGATCCCCCGGATCATTGGCCATCAGAGGCGTGCAGAAAGAGATATGGAGACTTTACTGATTCTCGGAGTATAACTCCACGGTTAACAGTAAAGGTAAGTAGAGTAATTAATTTGAAAAGACGGATCAGCTTCCGGTAGAAAATTCCGTGTATTTCGAAAAGAAGCTGCAATGCTGTAAAACCGAGAGAAAAAAGTGCTTATATCGTCTTGGAAAACTACTCAATTACCTTTCTCTTACAAAGTAACTCACCATGAACGCCGTTTTCGATACTAAGGTAGCACATTCTGTTAAGAACCTTTAGCATTGGCAAGCTGAAGAAGAAGACCGAACTTATGATCGGGTCGAACTGAAAATGTTTACAATTCGTATTAAATGCTGAGATATTTGCAAAACTCCGTACCGCAGGTGTATGCAGTGGGGAACGAACACGCGCTGTTGTCCTTACCGGGTAGCAGCGCGTCACCACTGCACCATCCGGGTCCTTCGTCTTGCCTGTCTCTCAGCTAGTTTTTTCGATTTTTTTGCCATCAGCAATCACCCGTCAACGGGATTGATCTGGGGAGCCCAAATCGGCAATGAACCCAGTTAAGCTGAGGCTTAGTTATAATCACAATCTTAACCCTTTTATTTACTGCCTTTTTCTTCTTAATGGAGGTCCGGAGTTTTGCAAATATCTCAGCATTTCATGCGTGTTATATTTCGCAGCATACCCCGCCATTAAGAAGAAAAAGGCAGTAAATAAAAGGGTTAAGAATGTTTGCAATGTTTCACTTTTTATTTTTTGCCTTCTATAATTTTTTAGCAGGGCATTAATCGAAATACAACCGCAATACACAATATTGCTGAGATATTTGGAAGATTCCGCGCCATATTGCCCTTTCTGGGGAGTAATGCGTTCACCACCATACCATGCGGGTCCTTTGTTTCGCCTGTGTCTCAGTTAGTTCTATCGATCTCTGCCATCAGCAATCACCCGCTAACTTTTTATTTTCTGCCTTCTATAATTTTTATGGTAGGGTATTAATCGAAATACAACCACAATACACAATATTACTGAGATATTTGCAAGACTCCGGTTACTCTCCGGAAAGGACAATAGCGCGTTCGTTCCCCACCGCAGACCACTGCGGCCCGTGGTTTTGCAAATATCTCAGCAATTATTGTGGTTGAAAATGTTTGCTTTCCATCAATTTTTCTGAGCAACGTAGATGTGTGTGAAAAGTACTCAAGATAAAAAATGAGCATCGTAATGTATTCCTGAAGCCTTTTCCTGGCTGTGTCCTTCTCAACGTATGAACTACTTTTCCAAATTTTGCTTGATATTCTCAGATCAACTATTAAGGCGGTGTAAACCACACGCAGTGACGAAGAAAGCCATGCGGTGTTATTTGAACCAGTTAGTAGGAACTCGGCAGTGTAAAGTTATTTCGAAATTCTCGAATATGCGTGGGTTCCCAATATATAAACACCAAATGGCTTTTGCAGAAGTCACACTTCATGAACTGACGTGAATGGTAAAGTAATTCAAATAACTATATAATTTATCGATAACCCTTTTTTTTACGAAGAACAGTGTTCAATGAGAACTGACTGGAATGTTGTTCGGCATGACATCACCAAGCCCAATCGTTGTGAATGTTTGAAAAGTGAAGTAAAGCGCAAGGAACCACGGCATTCCAGTGCCAGGTGGACCCGAGAACGCATCATAATAGTACACCCAGATGGTACCGCTGCCCATTATCACTAAATACTAAACATATTTGAAGAATAAGAAGCAAATGCACCTTGAAATGTGTTATTGCATACGTCCACAGATTACGACGCATATCCAAAATGGAAGCATGAAGACTTGATCCTGTTTTTCACTCACGTTCGAACTGAAGTTAACCACATTTTAAGTGAACTCAAAGGAACATTTAGAGAAAAGAAATTCAACAGTTTTCAATTTTAAAACAGCATGTGAGTTTCAATTCAGGAATTAGTCTACTTACAACTTTAATTTAAGTCGTGCGTAAAATGTTGTAATATATACTAAAGCCAATTGGCCGATATCGCGGATAATGATCCAGGTAATTGGACAGAACACAATGCCATAGGCTACGGTGAAGCATTTTGCTGCAAAGGTCTCTGGAGCAATCGAACCTAAAAGTCCAAGGCTAGATATAACACGTGATAAAAAAATAGGGATTGAAAAGTTGATGACGCTCGGTTAATATTGAAGAAAGGTTAAATTACACAAATGATACTGAGAAGTAACAACAACATTAGAATTAAAGATAACCAAGATGATGTTGAGATATTTGCAACACTCCGGACCACAGGCTTCTACGGTGGGGAACGAACGTGCTATTAGACTTTCCGGGAGCTAACACCTTTATCACCACACCATGCGGGTTCTTTGTTCTACCTGTTTTTCAGCTAGGTTTCTATCGTTTACTACTATAAGCAATCACTCGTCGACGAGATTGATCTGGGGAGCCCAAATCAGCAATGAACCCAGTTAAGCTGGGGCTGAAGTTAGAACCACAATCTTAACCTTTTCTTTACTGCCTACTATAATTTTTCACGGCAGAGTAACATGTGAAATACAACCAAAATGATAACGAGTGATTGCCGAGGGCAGTGATCGATAGAAAACTGGCTGTGAAAGAAGCGAGACGAAGAACTCGCATAGTGTGGTGTTGAACGCGTTACCCCCGGTAAGGGTAACACCGCGTTCGTTCCCCACCGCAGACACCTGCGGTCCGGAGATTTGCAAATATCTCAGCATTATTGTGGTTCTATTTCGCATAATATCCTGCCTTGAAAAATTATAGTAGGCAGTATATAAAAAGGTTAAGAATAAAGATAACAATAGAAGCCTCAGTAAATCGTAAATCAGTTCAGTAGTTCGCAAAAAATATGAAGAAGAATCAACTTAATGAAACCTCTAAAGAAGTAAAGCTTATATAAATACCCACCTAAATTTTTTGAAGGAATTTTAACTCGTAAGTGTTCAAGAACCATTCATTTAATGTCACACGATGAAAAGTTTCGGTGCTTCTCTTTAAAAGAAGCGTAGAAACACTTGTTCGAGCCTTAGATCTCTTTCATCGTGCGTTATTTTCCGCATGAAGGAAGTGACCAAGCTTTTCTATGTTTACGGATAACCTTTATGGGTGCTTTTTCTCACTGAAAAAATGCTTTCACCAAGCCTTCGCAGTAAAAACTTTTTTTCTTTACTAACCATATCCTATAGTTGTGTATACATTCATTGAATAGAAGAAACTGCTGCTAAGTGTCCATTTCCAATGATCCGTTTCATCAGTTTTGTAATATATAGACCATTTAAAAACACCATCGGTGTTCAGCATATCAATATAGTCCTTCTGAAATAAAAAAGAATACGACCGCCACCACCGCTCTTTTTAGCACTGACCATTAATACATTTTCTCAGTTCACTTTCAAATGAGATCTTCACCTAAAAGCCTTTATTTCTTTAGCTACTAAAGAAAAGCAAAAGCAATTGTTTTTACTAATACGTACCTTTAATGTTGCCACTTTATTAGTTAAAGTCTGGTTGCCATCACTATGTTTGTACCGTTGAACGATTTCCAAAATTTTCCTTTCTAAGTCGGCTTTCCGTGCAGGGATCGCCTTATCAAATATACCACAGAGACAAATGAAAAGCAAAAACTTATTAAATAGCAAGCAACTGATAACGTCATAATATTATTTGGCGACAGAAATAGCAATAAATGCAGCATAAGTATAAGTAATAGCGACAGCTATTCTACTAATTACATTGTCCATATCTAGACCGTGGAACTTCAATATACCTCTGCCTCGCCGTTCGCCTCGAAGTAATATATACAATATCCTCCAAGGAATGAATAAACAGCTAGTATAGACAACAAAAACAAATGTCGTAATCCAAACTTTTTATCGAAAAATGAAAGGAAGTGCGCCATGAGATGCACTACTGTAACTTCCAACCAAATTTCATTTCGCTTCAAAAAACTTTATGAAAAAATAACCAAAATGTCTCACACTAACTTCCTCTTGACGACTTCGGCGTTTTGCCTGAAACATTATTTTTCGAAGTGTTAAATTCGCCCACTTTCCCAGGTTTTGTGCAAGTTAGAAAGAAAAGCTTTAGTGAATGATTTCAAGGACGTACCACGTTTAGCTATGTCATCTAGTCGCACCGTAGCCACATTTGAATGCTCATAAAAATCATCCACTGTTTTCCATGATGCGGACATGGTTTGTATGTCTGTAAAAGCATTTGTCATTTGGTAACATTTTAAAGACTACTTGCCGAAATTGGATGGTGGAACTGAATAGGTTAGGTTGAAATGTAAGGAATCACGGGAATAATGACAGTCATCGACATTACTACACGCACTAAATGTGGCTGCGCATCTTATCAACGAGATTTGGAAGGTGAATGGTCAATCGTTTTAAAAACAATGCGTGGTGTGCGGTCGATCATCGAGACACCAAACACACATGCATACACACACACACATACCTACACACAAACACGCACACAAACATACACACACAGGCAAACACACATAGAGAGACGAAAAACATACGCACGTTTATGGACCTATTGACACGCAAGGTAATACATTGAATCATCGATAAAGATGAAAATAGTTATTAGCTTAAGTTATATCTGCTGACATTTAGGTTGAAATGGTGTCAGAAAAAGTTCGGACTACCAAAAGATTGCAGATGAAAGCGGGGAAGGTGTAAAAATCACTTGTGATTGTGCAGTTAGCAGATTTCCCTCTTCTATTCAAGCATATCGACTTTGCAATTATTAAAAAGATAGTAGCAGTTAAGAGATCGGCGAATGTTCGGAATCCGATTTTCAAATGCTGGTATCAAGCAAAAGCAAGAATGACGGTGGTTAGAATTGATTCTAGCTAAAAATGTTTGCTTAAATTACAGCACTTCCATTTTTCGGTTCACAACGAACAATGTCTAAATACCCTATACCTGATGAGCGATAAAAAGCTTCGTCACGTAATATTTAATGAGAGGCGAGTAGGACTGGATTTCTTAGGAAAATCACCCAGTTAAAAAACTAGTTTATGCATTTTTGATGGATCAACATGGGATTACAATAGTACTGAGATATTTGCAAAACTCCGCAAGGCCTCTGTGGTAGGGAACAAAAGCGCTATTACCATTTCCGGCGGCTCACACGATCACCACCACACCATACATGCCCTTCGTCTCGTCTTTTCCCTCTGGCGGAAAGAAAACTAACTGAGAAGAGAAAGGCGAAACGAGGATCACTCATGATGTGGTGGCGAACGCGCCATCCCCAGAAAGGATAGTAGTGCGTTCTCCCCACACCTCAGATACCTGCGGTCCGGAGTTTTGCAAATATCTCAGCACCATTGTGGTTGTATCGCACATAGTACCCTACTGTAAAAAATTGTAACTTCTAAATAAACAGTTAACAATGCGATTTTAACCTGAAATCGTTTCATGTTTTCTGCTTTTCTTCGTTTGACGCTTACGCAGATGTTAACGAATCTAGGGCCGGGAAAGGACATAATGGTCTTCAGTTTTCTGGACCAAATGTCAGCGAAAACAACCACAACGATGCTGAGCTACCCTGAAAATTGTAGAAGGCGGCAAATAAAAAAGTAAACACTGTGATTTCGACTGCAGCGTCTGCTTAACTGGGTTCAATGCCGATGTGGGCTCCCCAAATCAATCCCGTTGATGGGTGATTGCTAATGGCAGTGAAAAATAGAAAACTAGCTAAGAGAATGAGGACCTCCGTGGCCCCGTGTGTAATGCATGAGCCTTCAAAGAGGGAATTCGTGGTTCGATCTGGCCCGTGGTCCAAGTTTTGCGAGTATCTCAGCATCGTTACAGCTGATTTCGTATAATACCTTGCTTTGAAAATTGCAGTAGGCAGTAAATACAGAAGTAAACATTGTCAGCGAAAACTTACGCAAAAGCTGTAGACCTACATTTTCTCATCAGCATGAACAATTCTTTGAAACCTTAACAGTAATAAGTCACCCAAATCACAGGCGGTATGATCACTACATGAGGAATGGCAAAGCAGTCCAACTTGTAATCTAATCGTCATTATATGTTACTGGGTCAGCAGTTCACTGTGATTGTAAGAAAATTGCTTTTCCATTACTTTGATGTTTTGAAAATGTTGTACAAGACTGTAATCTAGGCCTAAAGTTTTAAAAAAGCTTCACCTTTTTCTAGCAAATCTCAATAGCTCAGACCCTAATTGCGCCAAAGAAGGTGGTCCTCGGAATCGACGTGCGGTATCCGATCGGGATTATTGTTTATAAAACCACACAGGCTAGAAAACAATTTTGCATTTCTATCTGGCGAACGAAGCGGAAGAAATCCTTGCCGATTCGATAAATCGGTGTCGTGAAAAACTGCAGAAAATACGTTTAATTTCCACTTTTAGCTAACCGTTATGACCGTATTCAGCTTTGAAATTGACGGGATGGATAGCATGAATTGTTTTCAAGCCGTAAGTCGTTGAGTTATCTAGCCATTTTTTTTAATATTTCAGGTGATTTTCGGTGCCTTTAGTAAGTGACGGCCATAAATGACAGCCATTAACTACGTATTTTACCCTACAGTATACCCTTTTGGATATCAGTCTTCCATACATAAAATACCTTGCGTTGCTGAGTAGCAAAGCTGTTCTGCTCTTTATCCTTGTCTAGATAGGTTAAAAATTCAAAAGGGGTTAAGTGAAATACGTGCATCTCACCAGACACATTTGCATTCAAGGTACGTGCTCTCTGTCTTCACTGTTTCCAACGAATTTACGTTTTTCCGTATACCAAGTATGCAGTAGTAACAAATATGTAAATGAGTGTCCTTAATATAGCCCGAATTTATTTTATTGCTAATTCGACGAAAATCTCGCAATCAAGTGGCTTTAAAGCGTATATAATTGTTAGATCCGTTCGGTACCAGTTCCTAAAATGAATACATCTGCTACGAGAACACTCGTGCTTAAACTCTTCTTCACCAATGGCAGAGCATGGTGAGATTCACGTGTTTAAATCTCATCTCACGAAGAGAACGTCAGAGAAAAGGTGCGATGCTCTTCATTCTAATGGAAGCAACCTACCTCATTGCGTTGCTCAGCGAAAGTTCGTGGAATAATGGGCAGTTTATACCTGCCAATTCATGTACAACATGAATCTTTTCGGTATTTGTGATGTCGACGATATACGTGAATTTTATTTCTTGTACGACTCGTCTTTTACACCAACTGTGTAGATCGCAGCGCTTCTAACATTCCATTCGTTTCCTCGCACCCATCATCCACGAAGGTCTTCAACTTTTACGTGCGCTTTCAGCTGCTGCTTGAGGATTTTTCTTTAATACTGAATGTTGTAGAATACTGGTCCAGTCGATTCTCTCTGGGTTCTCGATATAGCCAGGCTAGAGCTCTCTCATTTGGATTGCAAACAGCGATTTTTTCCTCGGAAATATCGGGTAGCAATTTCCCGACCACTTAGGGATGAAAGGCTTTGTAAACCCGGAGCGGAATTGAACTAGAACCGTGCTCGTGATGATCGGCATCACTACCACTGTGCTCTGCGCTCCTTATGCGTGATTTATGCTAGAAGAAATCAAGCTCGCGACTATTTTTTGTATTAAAGCATTCTGTACTGTTCTGTTTATCTGATTTGAACTCTTAAGCTAAAAAATGAGTTTGAAATTCTAACGGTCTGTGCGAGAGGCACAATTGCGTAATTTGCTCCAATGATAGAGACGGTGATTGCATGAGTGCTGGGTAGGTGTATGAAATCAAATGTAGTGTATGTGAAGCCGAATGCTTTAGCAAAACGGATAGAGAATTGTGTGTACATCTTCTGGGTAAATTTAAAGTAGAGCCAAATACTCCGCTGGGTGCACGTGAGATATCGAGACATAACGGAGAAAATTTTAAAGTAAAAGCTGCTACTTTCGAATAGGAATCTAAAACATCAGCGCGTAAAACCCTTCATGCATTTTGGGTAAATTTAAAAAGACCAAAAATGAAGTTCAATTGGGAAATGCCTTGTGATTAGGAGTGACCACACGCCAACCCGCAGGCCGATTTGTTAACCTGAGCCGGGTAGATTCCCGAACCATGTAAGACTCCATGCGGCTTTTTTCCACCAATTAACTGAAAGATTTGCAACGAACAAAGAGGTGGGTGTTTAAAAGAGGCTGCTTACTATAACGGAAGCTTATGTATAAAGTTTTAACTGCTACGGTCATCAAAGTGTTTTACTGAGTGGAACCGTGGTAAATTTGACTTCTTCAGGCTCTGACGAAGGCGAGGCCGCCTTTTGTGAATGAATAAATATTGTAATAATAACGTTCGATTTGTTCATTAAGAAAAGATAGAACTAAACTCGAGTTATAGATAAGCATTGACTATGCTTTGTATGCAAGAAGAACATTTTAAAAATTTCACGATTTCTTTGTGGAAGAAAAAGGTTAATCTATTCCATGGTGACCAGCTACACTGAAATCAATGGGGGGGGGGGGGGGGGGGGGGGGGGGGGGAGCGGGAAGGGGGAGCACAACAACTTCTTATCGAAGCGCCTATTTTTTTCGTTTACACATCAGTCTATCTAAAATGTTCTATATTTTACCACTTTACGGTAACGGAAAGATGTAAAACACATATTTTTGCGATTACCCATAGGAACCAGTCTATCGAAGGTATTGATTAGATACGAATTTCTATAAATATCTTTCTCTCTATTTCGTTTCCATTCGTCTACCACAACTTATTTGGTCATCATTCGTCATGAGAACTGTGATCAAAAACATGTGACTGTGACTAGAATGACTCGCCAGTCATAATGATGCTGAGATATTTGCAAACCTCCCGACAGCAGAGATCTGCGTTGGGGAACGAATGCGCTATTACTCCTTCCGGGGTTGACGAGTTCACCACCACACCATGCGAATCCTTCATTTCGCCTGCCTCTGCTGGTTTTCTATCTACCAGTGCCATCGACAATCACCCGTTAACGGAATTGACCTTGGGAGAACAAATCGGCATTGACACAATGCTAACTTTTCATTTGCTGTGTAGTACAATTTTTCGCAGCAACATGTTATGTGAAATAGAACCACGATGACACTGAGATATTTGCAAAGCCGCATGGTGTGGTGGTTAAAGCGTTAGCCCCGGAAAGGACAATAGTGCGTTCGTTTCCCACCGCAGACACTTGCGGTCGCT